TCTACACTTTGGTAGATTTAAATCTAAAATTCAATTAAAAACTTTAATATGAAAGGACTGAGCAAACAAAAAGGAGTGAAAAAAAAAACATTCAAAAGGAATTTCAATTTTGAAACCATATATGTTCTCTTATAACCTTTGTAAAAGATTACAAATTGAAAGATATGTATATTTTCTTAGGAATACATAAAAAATAAAGAATGAACATTGCAGCAATCAAACTGAGCAGCTTTCACATGTTTCTGCTGGTATTTCTAGCATTTATATTTGGTGATGTGCTTTAAATCTTTGAGGTTGAAAGGCCACCTTAAAAAAAACTGCGGTAAAAAATAATTTTAATTTAAAAAAAAAAACAAATTTTAAAGCAGAATAAAAGCAAAAATTAAGATAAATGCAGGTGGTAGATCTATAAAACCACAGCTTTCAACTAATAATACCTCAGTTAAAAGTAGTAATATGCTTTTCTATATTTGGTTCTAGTTCTGGGTGGACAGAGAAGGCTAGAACTAGAAGACCTGAGTGTTTCAGTGATTTATAGACTTACAGAAGGATGTTAAAGTCTATTCTACAGGGAGACTGCTTAAGGACTTCAGAACTGGATGTGCTCTACTTTCTTAGTTCTAGTGAGAACACAGGGAGCAGCGTTTTGGATCAGCTGCAGCTGTCTGGACTTTTTAGGCAAACCTATGAAGACACTGTCGCAATAATCAGCTCTACTAAAGATAAATGCATTAACCGTTTTTTAAATCCTGTTGGAAATTAGTCCTTTAATCCTGGAAATGTTCTTCAGGTGATAAAAGGCTGACTTACAGCCTTTTTTGCCTCTGAAGGTTCAGTTCTGAGTCCATCATGACACCAAGATTTCCGTTATAATCTGCGGTTAATAGCTGTTGCAGCAATTCTGTTGTATATATGTATGATATATATATATATATATATATATATATATATATATATATATATATATATATATATATATATATATTAAATACAGCTATACATCCTATTTTGGGGATTTTATTTATGCTATCATTGGACTCAATTCCTCAGGGGCTTTAAAATATAGAACCCAACAGGTACAATAGGTTTAAGGCAACTATTGATGCTTTTATATTCCCTTTCAAGACAATTGGTGCTAAACAGAGACTTAAAAAAAAGGCTGGTAATAAATGAAAAAAAAAACAACAACAAAGTTTGTATTTCAGCTGCTTTAAGGATCAAAGAGGAGGTTTACCAGCAGATACATCTATTCTGAAAGGTTGATAGAAGCTATGCATTGTGGCTAGGGTTGTCACGATACTAAACTTTTCAACTCGATACCGATACTAAGGAAAATATTCGATACCCGATACCATTTTCGATACCACAAGGATAAAAACAAAGACTCCAAAAGTCTACAGAAATATTTTCATTGATAAATAAAATACAATAAATAAATACAATAACGGTTGTATGCTGTGCATAATATTAAGCAAGCTTGATAAAAAACTTATAAAATTCAAATTAAGTGTTCCTTTCTTGGCTATGCTTTGCACACATAACAATGACACTAGCCAAACCAGTTAAGACACAAAAATAATTCTCAGCAGCTGCACCTCTTACAAAAAAAAAGTCTGAAACTGAAAAGAGCACAGAATTATTCAATCACACAGTGTTCTGAAAGTGCATTGTCCTCTATTCTGCACTTTAGATGAATGACTGCTTAGGTGTCACTGGTGACGGCACTGTATCGATACTTTTAAAAACGAGTATTGTATCCGGATACAACATTTCAGTATCGATACTTTTTTGAGTTTCAATACTTTTGACAACCCTAATTGTGACCCTAATATATTCACTAAAGCTGTGACAACTATGGTGGAGGGTCAGTGATGCTGAGGTCTTGTTCTCCCTTTGAAAGCCCCAGGAAGCTTTGCTACAGTGTTTGGCATCTTAAACTCTGAAATATAAAGACATTCTAAGTTCAATCCAGGGAGCCTATTGGAGCAAACAGAATAGAGCCATTGGTGGTTTTTCAACAGGATAAAAATCCAAAACTTAAGGCAAAATCAAAATAGTAAAAGTTGATTTCGAAGGGAAGATGTGGGATGAGCTGCAGAGAGGAGCACAAGACAGGAGCCTGGTAATCAGAACGCAGAAAAATGGTCTAAGACCTTTCTCTTTTGTTTTACTTTTGTGAATTAGAAATCCTAGTTGTCTCACTTATAAAACCAGGGTTCCTAATAATAATTGAATCTTAATGTGAGATTATTTGAATGGGATAAAACATTTCGGACTTTCTACTCAGCTTTAGCAATAATAATAAAAGGTAATAAATCTTTTCAAAAGGAAAATAACATCTGAAAACTGGCTGGCTTTGGTCCAGTTATACTTGTGCCCTTGAAAGTTAAAAACCCTGTGATATAAACAACTGCAGCTTAACACCAGCTAATTTTATATTTCTGGGGGAAATACTAACGTTTAAATATCAAGTCAATTCAGACTAAAGAAGCAGAAATTTTTTTAGAAAAATACAAATATCAACCACATGGTGGCGCTCCAGGAGGAAACGTTAGCAGCTCTTTAAATGCTCATGAAAACAGTTTACTGGGCCATTACAGCATTGATTGCAGCGCCTGAGTAGAGACATAAAAACTCAGCAGAATGGTGCTGATTGAGAGCACAGCCAGAGGATCAAATATTTTAGGAGAAAAATAAGATTCATATTTAATAATTAGTTTAAGAAAGTCAATTTTTTTATGTGTAAATAAATCTTGACACACGATAGTCATTTGGCTTAAAATAACCAGAGAAAACAGCTACTTTCTTGAGATCTGAATTATAGTATTAATTTTAATTCCCGTCACTGGAAATAAAGAGCTTCTCTGGAAGCAAAACAAAGCCATATAATAAATTTTCACTATACTGACCTATGTCCTGTGAAATGATCCAAGTGGAATTCAGAGTGTGTGACAGCCCATGATTTCTGTTTTAGGATGCATCTGAAATGTCCCCAGCCTTTGATCTGTTTAATGTGAACGACCCAGAGTGAAGGAGTCACCCATCACTGGGGTCCCACCGTAACCCTTCAAAAAGCCAGTGGCAGCCACAGGCCTTGATCTGTCCGCCGGCTCAGGCGTCCCGCTGGCAGGACCGTGCAAATATTCACATGGAGGTGGCCATCCCTGTTATTACTAGTGTGCCTCTGCTGTGAATATCTCTTGATGTGCACCTTTCATCTTAAAATCCATCTCTTTGGGAGACAATGAGGAGCTCCCACCCTTCATCCTTTTGAACTCACCAGGTGGGGGCATCACAGCCGACAAAGGGAGGGATGGGGTGGGATTGCTGCATGCTGCATTAATACTGTACATAGCAGCTCTATCCAAACATTTACTGATTTATTATAAATTCCAAAGAGCCATTAAACTGCTACGGAGAAAATAAATAAGAAATAAATCCTCACTAAAGATGGGAACTATCAGGCTACTGGGTGAAGACCTCCCATATGAAAAATAAAATCTCTCCATTCATACTGACATCAAAAGACCACAAGATAAAACATTGATATGTCCACATTTATTGTGCAGTGACTTTTATATACATCCACTTTTTGTTTTTTTACACCTAATTTACATGACCAGTAATAAATTAATCTATTCTTTATTATCATATGACTCAACACAGCAATCAGAGGAGAAAACCACAATAACTCCAAGTGACACAAGTGACAAGGCAGTTATATGAATCAACGTAAAGTTCTTTAGTGTTTCTTACATCATAACAGGGGCATATGGACATTGTTTTGGAGCCGTGACACAGAGACAGTGTTGCTTTCAGATACATACAGATCTCTTACAGGTAACATCCTTAAAACCCTCTCTTAATGCTTCAGTATATGTAGTGTTTGTATGTTTCACAGAAAGAGAACTCTGTTTGGCACATTGATTCTGATTTTAGTTATAAATCTCCTTTTTTCAGTTAGAAGAATTTTAGTGCTAATAGTTAAAGAGAACAAAGAGCCTAAAATGCCACAATTTACGACCTTTTTAAACATTTTATAGATGACAGTTTCACAAGCTAAAATAAATACATAAGAAATGTCTCAGTATTTAAATAAATGCGTTATCTTTCAAAAAGAGCCCCAACTAAATAAGTAAACCATGAACACCTGAAATAAACAGCACATTAATCATTTCAGTGTTTATCATTTCCATTCCATTTTTCATTACACCCAGACAGCGACCGATACAGGTTGTTTTTTTATAAGGCCGATGCTGATTATTTGGACATCAGTACAGGTGATACCAGGAATGTGCAGCTGATTCTTCAGACCCATATTGCTTTCTCCATCTCCAATCAGATGATTAAAATGATACATTTATAACAAATGTTACACAAGTCTCAATTTGAAAAAAAAAAATCATATTTAATCAAAGAAAATATTAATAACAGAGCAAATTGAAAGAAATGCATGCAATGTATGTGCCTTGGCTGATCAGAAAACCTGGCTGCATGAATGCACTAATAAGTTGGTGAAGGCATGCACCTTTTTTTATTAATTATTTTTTATTTTTTTATTAAATCAGCAGATGCCCATTTAATAATAATAAAAATAAAAATATTGCCCGCTGATGTATCGGTTCATCCAGTCTTCAAAGATATTGTTACTACTGCTGATGAGGTTTTGTTTTTAGGAGAGTTTGTGTGTCTGTCTGTGTCCAGCATAACTTATAAGTTATGGATGGATCTTTTAATCAGAGGTGTCCCTCATGCAAAAGATAAATCCATTAGATTTTGGTAATGAGCAAATCATAATATGGATTTTTTAATTTATAACCTTGCAAGATATGGATATTTGTCAGAAAAAAAAAGCAGTTCCCCACTAAACCAGAGGGTGGCAGTAGTAAATTGACAGGCTCAGCAGGTATTTTTACTGGAGACAAAAACACAAGAAAAGGGAAGGTTGTTGGTTTATTAGCAAGATCAATTGAAAACATTAACAGATTGTATGGATAATATTTTTTTTTTTTTTTACCAGGGTAACAAATCACTGAAATTTGATAATGATCCAGATCATATTCAGGTTTTAGTCACAATATGGGGCAAAATTTGCTGCTGGGCAGTGTGCACTCTCTGAGAGCTTCTCTAGTTTATAGAGCATCCATCTTCATATTAAAAAAGTTGAACTAAAAATATTGAAACTCTCAAGCCCTTAAAAATCACAATCAGCTTTGCAATGGTTTTTAAAATGAAGAACTTTAAAGCTTTAAAAGCAGCGTTTACTCAAAGGCGAAATAAAATGTGGGTGAGTGTCATAGAAGTTAACACAGTTGTAGAGGATGGAAAGTTGGTTCTGACCGATTAAAAACCATCTCTGTTGAAAACCTTTTTTTCCCAGGGTAATAAAACAGAGGAAAGTTATATCAGAAAGCTTAGGTCATATTACAATAGGTAGATTAAGATGAGAGGGATAAGCTATTATGACTGTTTAGCTAAAGGTGATAGCTGATTTTTTTCTTTCTCCTTTTCAGAATTAGCTGAAAGAGAGCTTAACCGCAGAAACTGTTTAAGGTCTATAGTTATTTTTTTCCATTTAGCGCCATATTGTGGCACCTTGAAGATGCAGTTCTCAGAAGTCTATCCCTAGTTCTCCTAGCTTTACAAACTCACCATGAAGGTGAAGAACTTTCAATCACAACTTCCATCTTGGATGGTTAGTTTTCTACACTGAGGTCCAGGTTTGGTCTTAAAAATGAAAAATCACTCTTTGGAAACTTAACGAGGTCTTCGCAGAATCATTGTACTCTTTTAATTTCTCATTCTTGTACACATTTCTTTTTATACTGGACATAGAAATGAAAGGAACTACAATGAGTTAGAAGCCTTTAAACAGCTGAAAATGTAAAGTTATAAAATGAAGATATTTGCCTCTCAAACTGTCATTAAGGCTCAGTGGACAGAATGCACAGCAAATTATTCTGCCCAGCAGCTTATCTGCAGGCTAATCACCTCGTCTGGAACAATGTCAGCTTTTTAGAGTCGCTTTGATTGAGAGATAGGATAATTATAATGTACTGCACCAGAAGATTATAAAATCATTTTATGTACCTTTTAGAACTTTAATCAAGGATTTCCATGATTAATGAATGATTTACTATAAAATGCTGAGACATTCAAATAATCAAACATTTTTTATGTATTTAACGTATGCATTTAAATCATGTTTCAGCCATTATATCTGTATTATTTGCTAAGATCGATAGCATTTAGCATGGTGGCAGTTTGGGCCTTCAATGGGACATTATTTTGATGAGAAAAATGATTGCGTATTGACACAATTACTTTACATAATTTTAGATCTGAATCATTTTCTTAATCATAACATGAGTTGGATGGCAGATTAGTTAAAGGGTGTAGAGTTCAAAACTGCCCAAAACACCTTATAACTGCATTTTTAACATTGGAGATGAGCATTACTATTATGCTACATACAGTACTGATCACTCACAACAGACACAAAGATAAAATACAGCTCGGCTATTAGTGTAGTCTTTATAAAAACTAAAGTGAACGCATTAATGTATTAACTGTGTTCAGTGTTTACACTTTAGTGTATAGAAAGAATAGAAAATAAAATACATTAACCAGAGAGGCCGAGGCCGAAAACACATAGAAAATATAAAGCCAGTTCAGGTTTCACTGACCTGATGAGATCTGAATGTGAAATAAGTGACAGAAGGTTTAACTCTCTAATGCTAGCTTAATGCTAACCACTGACTAAAGTGACATGCCTATGCAACACAAAAATCACCACATCAGCTCTTGCCTCCTTTTTTGATACAGGAACACAAAAAAAAGAGATATTTATAGGTTACACTGATGGCTCTTGAGCACTACACTGCTCCAGACAGCAGTTATCTAAGCTATCAAAACATGCAGCTCATGGTGAGATTATACAGTACTATTTATTTTTTTGTTGGTGGTAAACAGTTGTGATAAAACCCAGAGTTTGTATCTTTATTACTATCATCATCATGAGATAATGGTTTTCATCATGGCTCTGTTGTTCCATTAAGCCTCACATTCAATCTTTAAAGAAACGCTCATTTACATGGAATAAAAATTAACACATGGTTGTCATCTAATCACATCATACAGAAACATCTGGTTATTGCACACTAGCACTGAGATTGCAAATGTTCATGCAGAATGAAAGAGAGCACACTACAATTCAATCAGTGGTTGTTCGCAATGTGATGGAGGATGAAGCAAGTCGTTGGAAGACTAAATTACATTGTTTGGGAGACTCATGACTACATTGCACATGAATTATGACACCCTAAGCTGGTACAGAAAGTTCTGTGGTTGAGAGAAAATAAAATCAGTGTGAGGATCTTTGAAATGAATTGATGGCTGAATTAGTGATGCTTTTAGTAAACAAGCAGGAATGTTAGATGAGAACGGTACTGTGGAGGAGAAGACTGAGCATTTCAGTGAGGGGATTCTTGTGTCGGTGGGTAAAATATATATTACATTAGAGTTGGACATTCGTAGCATTGATCCAGGTTAAAAAAAAACGACACAAAAGCAGCAGACTCAATGAAAGAAGAAAACGTTTCATGTGAGCGGTTCGTGAGTTTGTAAAAAGTAAAACTAAAAAGGAAATGTTTCTGACAATTCCCCCACAAACTGCTTCACACACTAGAGACTAGACAAGAGAGACAGGCGTAAGGCGAAATGGAATCCTTATAGGACTGGTGAGAGTGAAAAGGGGCGGCTGTGACAGGATCTCTGCGTATGACAGACAGACAATCCTTGCTTCAGCTTATGGGGACTGAGAACCTGACCTGTAGCTCTTAAAGGTGCCCAGCAGACTTTGCACTCCTTTCTTAACCCGTCGAGCCACAGAGTCAGCAGGAGGAGTGGGCAGGCAGGAGGCCAGGCTGGGCGGGCGAGCATCCAAGCATTTCTGGTAGCGAAGCTGAAAAAAATGATAAATAATGATGTTAAACCTTTAACCTGTTGATACCCAATCTAATTACTCTTCCTGCCATGAGTGGTAATTAATTATTCATATCAAAAGCAGACCAAAACAAGATATGTTTTTAATAGAGCAGCAGCTGGGCTTTATTATATCTCTGAATTTAAATTGTTCCAGAGTTCTCATTTTAGTCATCTTCTGAGTTTTTAAAGGCACAGAGAAAACGTAGTCAATGAAAATCTACCCATCTGTTCTCACTACCATCGGTAAATAACATCTTGTTGTTCTGTTCGCTCTGTTTTGGGGTTGAAAAAACAGCACAAAAATGTCTTATATCCATAAAATCAATAACATTTCCCAGTCCCAAATTTTCTTGTTTTTTGACAGTCCTACTAGTTTTAAAATGTTCTTATTAGTCAAAATAAAAGCCACTAGTAACAGTCAGTGAGCAGGAATAAGCAGACAGCGAGGAGGGAAAGGATAGCTGTATAACTGCCTAGTTCAAAAATATAATTAAAAATATCACCTTTTCTTCCTACTCAGATAAATTAAAAGTTATGTACAGATTCCGATTAGTTCTAGGCTTTTATGGTTCCTTCAATGCCGTTCTGTCATTCTGTTGCTGTTCATCTGACTCACCATACAGGCAGCTTGCACAGCCTCACTCAGACTGGCCGCATTGGGTTCACACCAAAACATGTGACAGGTGAACTCCTCGGGACCTTCAGCCATGATGAAAGCAAAAGTGTGGACATCCTGTCCAACTCCCATAAAAGACAGGAAGCGCACCCTACACTCTGAAAGAACCTCATCATCCTGGAGTAGAGACATATGAAAAGAAATAAGAATTCAGAGCATCAATAATGTTACAGGTCCAAAGAGTACAATATCCAATAAAATCATGGTTTCGTTTTGAAACATTATAAGATTAGTACTTGCACTTAGACTTGACAGTTTAAACTTCAAAGCTGAGTGAGAGTGAGTAAACTCTATTTTAAAGGGGTCATAGAATGCAAAACCGAGTTTACATTGTCATAGATGAATAATGATAGTTCAGTGGGTGAAATTCACCATAAAACGGGCAAATTCAAACGAAGCCCCTAATTGACGTAAACTCAGGGGTTTTGCCTTATTTGGTTCTGGCCTGTACTTTTGTTGTGCCCCGAAATCGACATACAGACCAGCCCACTGGTTCACTGGCCCAAGAACATGAATAGAGGAAGATGTAAGACACAAGCTTAGCCGTTTAGCCCACAGTGGGTTTAGTTCTATAAGAATTACAAAGCAGACAGTTTCTTTACTGAAAATGAGCCAGAACAACTGGGGTAAATGCAGTGTTCCAGGCTGCACAGAGAAAAGGGAAAATTTTTCACAGTCTTCCCAAGAATCCGAAGACTCTACAGGCATGGATTATTTTTGTGTATCGGGTCCCTGCAAAGTTTGATGCTCAGCTGTTCATTTGCTCTAAGCATTTTACGGAAGACAGCTTTTAAAATCTTGGACAGTTCAGTATTTGCTAAACTTCCTTTACTGAAATGAGTGGCTGTTCCGACCGTAAGGCCAACAAAAATGCAAGCTATAAGTATTATTCTGTTGCTAAGCTGTTGATAGCAATGCTAGCATATCTATGGTGACCAGTTTTGGGTTTCTGAAAAGGAGGACCAAACCCGATCCGGTAACGGTATGTTTCTTATTAGTCATACCGTTACCGGGTCGGGTTTGGTCACTCTGTCCCCCGCTGGCTCCCTACCCCTGTCCACCGGGGTTCTCAGACCAGCCCCGGAGCTGATAGCTCGGTTCGAATGCCCGGTGTGTTTAGACTACGTGCTACACTGTAGTCAACCAAAATCCCGGACGATTTTGAAATTCCCTCCGGACATTTTTTTAAATATGTATGAAAAGCAGGACATGTCCAGGAAAACAAGGATGTCTGGTCACCCTACCATATCAATATTTTGATGCTTCAGTTAGTGAATGCTTGTTGCTGTGATGAGTCTTTGCTCAGCAGCTTCACTCGTTGTAAACTAACCAATCAGCACACAGCTCATCTAAATATTCATGGCATTACAATATAAGGAAGAAAACCTGTGGTTTTATTCTAGGTCTTTAAACCAGCCTTGCATTAGGGCTCATAGAACAGCAAATATGCCATTTTCAGCCCAACCAACGTTACACACCCTATTCAAAGACCTTAAGGACAGGTACCAAATACCATATATAATCATTCTATGAACCCTTTAAAACACATTGCAGACAAATATGAAAATGGACAAAATCTGTTGTTTAAGGTAGATTTTTTTTTTTTACCTCTTTTGAAAGTATAGTTAGGGTAGCTGGGGCAACATTGACAGAAACAGGAGTCCAGTCATTTTTAGCTCTGCCAGCCATTGCAAACTCCAATGCTTCATTTAATATCTCCATTCCTGTCAAAACCATGAAAAGCAAAGTTATACGTAGTAAATAACTGTAAAGATTTTACTAATAACAGAATTGTATAATCTAATTTCCTTTACCAACTGGTCTGGCCACTGGTATACAACCAAGATAATAAACATGGAAGCGTTGGAAGAGCTCATTCTTTGGAGCAGGAAACTCTGTTAAAGTAGAAAAGCTTTTATTACTTAGTTGAAACATTTAAATAAAACAGGAAATGTTAAAATTATCTGAAGTTTTTCAATTTTAACTTCAACATGACATTTACCTTCAATGCCAAAAGGTTTACTAGGGTCAGAGGAAAGTCTGCTCACTCCTGGTTTATTAGTCTTTCTCTCCATCATGATCTACAGCAAAATGACAGTATATAACTTTCAGGAAGGAACTTAATAATTCAAAATTAAGCCAAAATAGCCACTTACCTTTGAGCACATCTCATGCAAGCTGGTGGCGATGTTCTTGGCAGGTGAGTCGCAGCGGAAAACATGACACTTCAACACTTGAGTGAGGTTGTCTCGAGCCACATAAGCAAAATCCCTGCATATGAAACAAGTGGCTAAATGTTTACTTTGAGATTCACTTTTGTTAAAGCACCTTAGCTATAAATGCTACAACACGTCTAATTTCCAAATAGAATTTAATAAAGAATACCTTTCCCTGTAAATGATGGAAAAAGCAGCATGAAAGAAAATATAAAACAGCCGTTAGAAGTCAGACAGACAAGTGGCGCAAAAGATTAGTGATATATTTTAACTGCAGTTATAAAAGCCATCCAGCAGAGGGCAGCAGCAGCATGAAAAGTCAACATACGAAGCAGTTCCTATCATAGACACCCACAGTGCCTTCTTTTTAAAGAGTACCAAAATGGAGACTAAGAAAGAAATAAGAACACTAGCAAATGAGAACTGAAGCTGTTTATAAAGTCAGAAAGACCATCAACAAACACTAATCTTTATCTGATTATTTCAGCAGAGTTAAATGTGAAGAATATTTTCAACTCTATCAAATCTGCCCAGGGTTTTAAATTCAAATAATGCACTAAATATAAGACATAAATATAATAGAAACATTTCATATTAGTCTGACCTTCCGTTATCTCTGCCGACGCCCCAAACACGGATACTGCCAATTGGCTGAGAATGAAGAAGTGTCTGACCCAGAGGATCGATCAAGTTCATTGTGTCGTTCTCCAAAACCATTAGCATGTCTTTTCCCTGTAAGAGAATGAAGAAACTTAGTAAGAGCAACAAGATTGAACAGTTTGTAGCAATAATCTGATTTGGACTCTATCTTGAAAAATATAGAATGATGACAGAATTGATCTTGAATTGGTTAAATAAACTGAAAACAAGCAGTGCAACTACTTTCTGTTAAAAGATCAGAAAAGCTGACTTATAAAAAAATGAATTATGAAAAAAATTGTAATGCTAAAAAAAAATTGAAATATTGAGAAAAAGTTTAATATTTGTTGTCCCTTATTTTACAAAATGACTCTCATAATGTATAGGTTCGTTAAGCAGTGAAATAATTCAATTCTGTATTTCTTGCAAAATTGATATTTATAACACAGGAGTGTCAAACTGGTTCCAGAAAGGGCCGTGTGGCTGCAGGTTTTCTTTCCAACCCAGCAATAGCACACCAGACTCCATTCATCTCATCAAGTCATCATGTTAAGACTGGACTCACTTGACGGGATGACTGGAGTCTGGTGTGCTATTGCTGGGTTGGAAAGAAAACCTGCAGCCACACGGCCCTTTCTGGAACCAGTTTGACACCCCTGTTATAACATAATACAGTGGCTCAAAAAATATTTCCTATTTATAGAAAGTTAAAGTGAAAGCAAAGATGCATCAGTAACCAAATAATCGAGGCCTTGAAAAAAATTCAATTCAATCAAAAGTGCACATAATTAGCAGGGAATGCAGTGAGGCTAGAGTTCTTGCATCAAGAGAGACTACACACGGACAAGTCCTACTGAGAAATGCTGCTGGAATCAGAAACATCAGGAGTATGTTATTTTCCAACAGGACTTGGCACCTGCCCAAACTCTAAATAAACCCAAAGCCGTCACTGTGACCATGGTGGTACTGTGCCTGGTTGGTCAGTTAAACTCCCATTAACTCAAAAGATAATCTTTTGTTATAATAAAGACCATCTTAAGGCCACTATCAAATCAACCTGGGCTTCTATTAGACTGAACCCTGCATGCCAAAGCCACACTGAGACAATGACTGATGCAAAAAGTAAAACTATTTTCAGTAGCTTGATGTTTCTGTTTAAATAATTCTTTTACAATACTCAAATTTTCAGAGACACCAAATGTTGGGTTTTCATTAACTCTAAGCCCTTATTAAGAAAATATTTTGCCTGATTATTAATACATTTATATACAAGATTCAAATTTAAATAAGAAGAAAATTTTTTTCAATAAATATAACTCGTTGCGCTGTATTTTTGGACGTTGATGGAAAAGTGGCAGAAGAAGACAGGCGTATCCGCTCACCTCTCCCCAGATCCCTGCCGTGTCATGAAGGTTGTGTTTGTGATAAGAAAGCTGTCGGATGCAGTTGTTCACAGCCACACTACTCTTGCCAGGTGCCAGATCCTCCTCGGACATCTCCACCCAACCCAGAGAGCGCACTGCAAAACACTGAGTACAGACAAAATGTCACTGATGAGAAAAACTTAAAAGTATGCTACTATGTCCTGTTAGCGTTTTTGTTTTTTTGTTATTTCTGGTTAAATATTCAACATTTCTCAAACAAATCTAGTTTTTTTCAAGGTCCCAAATTAAAGAGATGATTTGGTTGGCGACAAAGTAAAAATCTACTTCTTCACATTGGCCCAACCAAATTTTGAAACCATGTTTAAGTCTGTATGCAAGGCCCAAAACAACTTCTGCTCCTTTTTATTCATCTACTAAGCAACTGCAGCATTTTACATTAATCCAGAGGGATTTAAATTACTTTCCTATCATTGATAAGTTACAAGTTAATGCAAGAAACTAACACGTCATTACAGCTGATTAATTGAAATATTCTCATGTCTTAGGAGAGAAATACCAAAATGATGTTTACCTTAGTCTCTAAATCTGTACATTGTGGAGCTCGTTTTTCTTCTTCCTCTGATTGGGAGCAATTGTAGCTACAAAAACAGAAGAAAATGTGGAAGAAAAAGATTACAAACTGCAGCACACAGACAATAGGCTAAGTCAGATGTCATTTTCCAAAAAAACTTCCACATACTTTAAGTTGATGGATGCATAGCGTAGAGTTGCTCCCTCAAATTCTTTCAGACTCTGATCAGATGCAGCTTCTCCCTCCTCCTGAACAAAGACAAGAGGATTTATGTCAGGCTGTCTGCCTAAGTGTAAAACCGCTCAAGACAGTAAAAAAGGCCTAAAACCAAAAATGAGTCAGTTTGATTACATTAGCAGTGATGTGGAAAACCAAATGGTATAAGTAACTACAGAACTGCTTCAAATGTGGCTTAAAATACACCAAACTACAACCTTAGGAATACATGTTGCCATTTCTCCCATTATTAAAGCAGATCATATGCTCAAGAGGACCAATCTGGCCGAAATTAGCCCACTTACGCAATCTCCAAATAAAGTGTTTATCAGATTTAATGTGTCACTAATATAATAACCACACTAAGAAATTGGGAGGATATTTCTAAACAATTGTGACTTGGGTTTTGTCTCTTACCTTCCACAATTCCCCTTCATCACCACCATCATCTGTGCTGGAAAGCTGAGCCCAAGTTTCCTACCAAATATAACTTAATTTATTAAACTCACAATTATATTTTTAGCCCCCTAGGCAACAGGCAAACTGTTCAGGTTCCCTCACCTCAGGTTCCTCGCAGGGTGTGGTCTCCAGTGACATTGTAGAAGACATCATGGAGTCGCCAACTTTACCCAAGGGCGAAGGAGGTTCCCACTGGGTGGTGCCAGTGGGAATATGCCAGTAATATGTGCCAGATGTATCGCGAACCCTCATCCACCCAGACGGCAGGTCTGTGTCCGTTTCAAACGCACTGGAGTCCCAGAAGGATTCTACAGAAAAAAGGAAAAATAAAAGAAACATTGAGAATGTAAAGAGTAAACTAAAATATAAAGCATATCCTGGATCTACAATCTGAGATTTGTGAGCATGGCTAGGCGAACCTTTTTAAGAGGTTTTTATTTTGAAAGAGAAGAAAGGGAATGATGCAGAGTATTTAGCTCACAGAATCCTATTTCAACAATTAAAAAACAGATTACTTAAGATGTCGAACATGCTAATATGGCCACAGGAAGAAAAAGGAAAAAAACAACAACAAAGTAATATAAATCCCTTGGATGAACGTTGTTAAGCTAGCTAGCTAGTGGAGGTAAAACAGTGACTTTTAATTTAAGCTTAAAGAACCAGCAGTCAAGACATAAACTGTAAAAAGGTGAATTGGTGGTTTGCAAGCTTAGCTTTTTTTCCTATGCACTAGCTGGGCTCTGCTCCCATGACACTGAAACCACTGCAGTATGATGTCAGTGTGAGTTGATAGGATATTTCATCTTTAGGTGGGCTGTGTCTGAACATCCACCTTAAACCATAACTTCTCAATCCCTATATAGAGCAGAGACTATATAGTAAACTCAATAACTGACCAATTGGACAGATAATCACTATGTTTTGCTCCCTGTTGGTCATCAGACTTTGGGCTCCTCACACATTGCCTGCACCCTCTTTGTTCTCCCCCTTCCCCATAACAAAACACATGATGCTCGCCAAGTGACCATTGATGCTCACTACTTTTCCAAGTGCACTGTGCAACATTTTGAGTTCACAACTTTTTCATCCACTAGACATTCGGACGCTCGTATAAAATGCCGTAACCATTAGATATTACTCTATAGGGGTTTGGGTGGCTGTTCGTAAACCAAAGACAAACATTCTTCAACATTTATCTTACTTTGGAGTAGAGCTGGGTGACAAATGCTGATAAATTGATTCACTTTAATTGGCTGTAAAGATTTTATTTTAAGAAAATCCAGATTTTATTTAAGCCATGCAATGGGCGTCCACTGTTCAAAGTGACATCAGTCATTTATTGTTCTCTGATGTATTCTCAACACTGATAAACTAGCTAACTAAAGCTGAAAACACTTTTTTTATGTTTTCAATATGCCAATGGCAGTGGAAAACGAAGAAAAAAAAAAATCACAATTTTTGTATTTAGTTGCAATTTGACTTTAGATCAACCATCAGCATGAAAAATTAAAAAAATATACATCTTTTTTTTATGACATTAAAGGGAGAAGATAATCATACTCATAATGGAGCTTTGCACAGTTCATGCATTAAGTCTGCAATAAAGTAAAATGCAAAGGAGATTTCAGCCAGGCATACACTGTACGATTTTTTGCCCTTTTCGAGCCGATTCTCCAGTCGTGCGAGAATTGTTTCGATCGTGCCAAGTGACAGAGTCATCATGTGTCTGCCGTCATGTAGTATACAGGGGGTAACAAGGGGCAATCCGATCTCACTACTAACCATGAATCAGGAATTGTAAGGTTGGGAGAAAATTAAACATGCTTGAAATTCAGTCGGCCGTGGTGAGGTGTTCGTGGGCAAATCGTGCTGTTGAAGCAGAGCCACAAGCAAATTTACAAGAACCTCAAGCACTGCGCATGTGCAAACAGAGGAGTTCTTCTTCTTCTAGATTGACAAATCTGACCAACGGTTGAAAATATCACACAGTGTATGCCCGACTTTAGTATGCCTTAAGAAAGTCCTTGAGATACTGACACTTATGGATAAATGTTAGTTGATATCATAGTTAATGTCCTATTTAAATAAATAAATAAAAATGGGGAGAATAAAACTAGGACATTAAAAATGATCATAAACAGGTGATATAGGATGATTTACATAAGATTCACTCTCATGTTCTTCACATTACCTCTGTTCCCATTTGGAGAATTGTCGGAGTTGTCCTGAGACATTGAAGGCCAGCTGGGCTCTTCGTCACTTGGGGTCCCATTCATGTTGGAGAAGAGGAGACAAGCATTTCTACCCACAACACTGCCTTCTCTGGAGGTCTCCACGGGACTCTGCTCCACAGGTTTCTCTCCTGAGCCTCCATCTGTGGTCTCCTCATGCACCTCAGAATTGTTATCCTTTTCTTTATCATCCTCTTCTCTCTTTTTTTCTTTCTCTTCTTCGGATTCCAGAGTGTCGATAAGTAGTGGCTCATTCAGGATGTTCTTGGATTCTTCCTGACTCAGGCCAGGTGTCATAGCTATTTTGGGAGATTTTTTTTGCTCCTCATTTCCTTGTTGTTCTTCCTGAGTGATGTTCTGAAGAGGAAAGTCTTCCCCGTTACCATTCTGGTTGATATTGCAGTTATGATCCTGATCCTGTTGGTTCTCAGCTACTTTGCGGAGCTGGTTTCGGCCTTCCTTTACCCGCTTAGCATTGTTGCCGATGGATTCCTGGTCACACCAGAGGGTGCCTTCATTCAGCTTGTTTTTCAGCTCTTCATCTTGCTTTTGTTTATTAACAACATACGCTACATCTTCATCATCGTGACCACCCATGGTAGCTTCCCTTCCAAATAATCTGGTGGAGATAAAATCAAGGATTTATTAAAGTACACATAAGATATTACCAACTTTTATGAACTTATATCAGACTAATCTGAGAATGCCTTATCAGCCAGGTTTGCCAACAAGTCTTTGGTATGGAGGCTTTTATTTGGGAATGAAAAATTAGCTAAACTGAAGATAGATATATTCAATATAATTTAAGTGATTAAAATTAAATCAAAGAGGCACAAAGACGCAAGAATATTCTACAAAGTTAATGTACTTTAAAAGAAAAACATGTGTTACAAAAAATATGTTTATGCTTCAATCAGGCTGTTTTGAAAGGGAGACGTAGTGCATTAAAAAAGGATAAATGGTGTGCAGTAATGTCACTATGTTTCATTTTTTTTATCCTCTATGTGTCATGAAACAGGCTGGATTCGAAAATGCTGACAGCGTCGAAAATTATCAAGATCAAATGTAGAAGAAAAAAAACCTTACAGAATACAGCCCGCTGTTTTAAGGTTATCCATGTTTATTGTTAAACATAAATGCTATAGATTTACAGTATAAAAGAGAACAAAAATGATCTAAAACCAACCAATAAAGACCTAAATCTGCATTAAACTATTCAGATACTTCCTATGATTGCCAAAAGGCTTTGTCCATCCTGGACTAATATTGTGATGAGATTTTTTTTGGACATAGGCAACAAAACCTTGGAGGCTGTAAGGCCATCTGGCCTTCGCCCAATAGTAGGCCTGCAACTAACGATTATTTTGCTAATCGATTAATCTGTTGATTATGTTTCTGATTAATAATCAGATAGCAAAAAAGAATTTATTTGAGATCAAACCAGGTGAAACTAAAACTTTTCCACTTGAGAAGTTCTGAATAGAGCATACTGACAGGTGGAAAAGATTTTTTATTTTAAATGCAAAATGTTTATATTCTATTTTTTACAATTTTGGTATAATTTCTACTCAAGGTGGGTCAGTCTGTCACTAAAGGCATGTTTTAGAGTCTCTACATTCCAGTTAGCGATTAATTCTAATTAGTTGACGATTATTTTAATAATCGATTAATCTGATTAATTGTTTCAGCCCTACACTATTATTTTGGATCCCCCATAGCTCTCCATTAGATTCAAGTCAGAACTAGCTAGGCCAAAAGAAAAACATTACTATTAAATTCAGTCCAAAGAAAAATTGTGATCTAATTAAAATATCATTTAAAAAAATAAAATTTAAAATCTCATTCAGCAAATGGACTGAACAATTTCTTACTTAACTGTAGATTATGACCATCAACAGCAGAATGGCAGGAAAAAAAGTAAGCATATATTGATTGTATTACACATTTTCATAAGGGCCAGAATGTAAATAGGTAAAAAAAAAAAAAAGTACACAAATAAATAAGTCAGAAAATACTGATGTGTAAACCCCCCACAAATAAAGTCATTTTTTGCCATTATAAGAAGGGCATTTTTATGCTTCGGGAGAAAGACGATTTGAAGATATGGTAGGAAGCCACCTGGAATCATCTTTGTTTTGTCATAGTTTGCCGAAGGGGATTGCTAAGGCTGCCCATAATGGATATTGTTGCAAATTTCTTAGGTAGAACAAAAACAAAGGGGAAACAGAAAGTTTAAGCTCCTTCTATGTACCATTACAAAAACAGATAATCTCACCATAATCAAAGGGAAATAGTTTAGATTGCAAAACAAAAGCAGATAAAAGCAGAGCCAATTTAAGACGGTAGAAGTCTTAAATAACACCTAGAAATAAGATCCTAACAGGCACAACTTCCCAGAAAACATTTAGCAGAGAAAGGTATATGCCAGATATTATCCTTTTAAAGACTCAGCCTACCCCAATACTGAACTTGACAGCAAAGGTCTTAAAGAAGCACACTTATTTATTAAATAAATTTGATGCAGTTAATTTAGAATAAAATCTAAAATAATTAATATTTTTAACTGAATGTTTTTTTCTTGTTTGTTTTTTTTTACAACTATTCTAGATTCTAACACAGGTAAACAGTAATTTCGATAGGTTTCATGTATTAAATGTTTCCAAGGTTCTAAAATAACATAACATTTAACTCTAGACGTCAAGTTAAAAATGATTCTGTATTTGCCTGTTTGTTCCTTTGGACTTTCAAAAGAGAGTAGTTTTATAATTAAATAATATAAAGGGGCTTCACAGTTAACAACTAAATTATTTATAATTTATAATTCAATATTCCCCGATATTTTAAGTCCTGTTCAAACACACATTAATATCAAAATCTAACTTGGACAACTTAAGAATAATTGAATATTATGTAGTTGGGCGGACGAATTGCTATTGATGAATAAATATATCAAGATGGATTGTGCCGCTTGTCACAGATAACTCGTTTATTATAAATCACTGCTAACTACTTCGAAGTCGGTATCTCACTGACATATTAACGCAAGGCGCTAACCGGGGTTACTATCATTGATGGAGTGACTGATCAATAACAAACGTACTTCAGCAGGTTCCGTCTGTCAACACGATCCCTTACGGGTTAGATAATACAACCAAATACAAAACAACAGCAATCCCCGGACAAAATTATAGATGTGGCATATATGCACTGAATGCAACATTTAAGTTACGTTGCTGCTATTCCATTTTCCATCGCCGCAGCTGGAACTAACGGGCATCATCCGCCATCATCGCCATCCGCCTTTGCTAGGCTAACGTTAGCTTCTCACCTAGCTAGCTGGCTAACGTAGACAAAAAATAGCTCCAAAACGGCTACGGCAAGAATTATTCATCAAAACTAATATTAGGAAAGTAGACTTACCAAGTCCACTAAACCCTCCTGCTATATAAATGTGACAAACACTGTAAATTAACTACATATTTCCATGGGTCGTGTTGGCTCGCTGGGTTTCTGGATGTTTTCAGTCAGGGCTCGGCTAGTGATGGAGGACGACGAACCTGCGTCACGGACCATCGTCACGGCGCGAGCCCACTAACGGCCCTCAGGCACAGAGAGGAGAGGTTAAATATCAAAGCTATTCTTTGCTACTTTAGGAAATAAAATCCGCCGCTGCAGTTCTCTGTCCTATGGAGACACCTTGCATAGTTCACTAGGAAGACGTCAGGGGAGAAATACCTGGTTGTCCATTTTCATTTTATGTTTTATTTGAATAAATAAATGTTTAAGTGACGGAGGGGAAAACATAAATATGATTATGAAATAATTTTTAAAAGACAATTGTTGGTTGGTTTAGGAGTAGTGGTTCTAAATGAGATTCAATTCTGATCTGGCAAAGTAGTTTGCATTTAAAGGAGAATTGAATCTCCATAGGGTTACTAATAAAACTGTCATAATAAAAAGTACCAAAATTGAACTGGTATTATATAAAAAAGGAACCAATCGATATTTTATAATTACTATAGAGCGGATGGGAGCCAAATGTATTTCTGAAAAATTAATGAAATCTTAAAAGCTCCTTAATAGTTCTTATTTAGTACATTAATAATGTTGATTATGATTGATATTATCCTTCAGGGAGTTGAACCTATATCCCAGTCTCATCTACCTTGCAGTTTCTTCCAGTATTTAGACCATCATCCACCTCACCATCATCTCTGACCAGCTTCCTAGTCCTTTCTAATAAAACCATAATTTATTCCCTCCTTCTAGTTCATATTGATTCAAATGTCTTGGTAAATCACATAAAAAGTGGTTATAAAGTTAGAAATAAAGTTCTTAAAAAGGGAGAGTACTTTTGCTTTTTCATATTTAAAGGAAAAGTCTGGTCATAAGTACTTTAAATATAAAATTATTACATACTGTTCAATAAATAAGTGTTTTTTATTAAGAGTAATATTCTTTTCAATGTGCTTCACTGGAGGCATCCATGTTTGTCAAAGAGCACTACTGCCACCTACAGGTTTGTGATGTCACAGTGCGGTATCGGCTGTTGAGCAAGTCCCAGTGCTGTATCTGGTGTTTGTAACAACGCGCTATTATACAAGTCATCTTGAAAAGATTCTTCTTGGCTGCATATTACGTGTTTTTTCTCTGGCCAGAAGTTTGATTGCAAATCCTCCCTCTTCAAGTTGGCAATCCAAGGATGAACTCGTGGTGGATCATGAATCGGAAAGGTGAAAAAAAAATGTTTTTTCACTTTTACCCATTGTATTACAACATCCAACTGCCATGCACGCGGGCATTGTCACTAACTATGGCTCGTACAAATTTCAATGGTGAAGTCCTCTCAAAATCTAAAATAATTGATGTTGATTGCAGGTGTGTCTGGTCTCATTGATTCTAGTCCTATTGATTTTTCTTGTAAAGCTGTCTGTCGCTGCTAAATCAGCTTATGAAACCCCTGCTGTTTTTTACCGATTAACGCTAAATTCATTAAACCATTTATTAAATTGTATTAGTTTTAGGTATAATGAGCCACTGGTTTTTCTTTGCTGACCGGACCTTTCCTTTAAACTATGTAGATACTCTGTTATGAGTAGTCAGTTCTACTACATAAATTGATAATTTTCTGTGTCATTTGAAATTTCACAACAAATTCAGATTCTTTGCACATCTTTAATATACTTATATATAAATACATACAATTTTCTTATTCGTTCTTAATTTTGGCTTCAACCATGTGATTCAGCACAAGCAAGCAAGCAGGTAGAGGCACGGAAACGATGCGGGTAAAGATATCCAGCCATGAGGTTTGGTGAAATGAATTACAGAGACAATTAGACATTTCAAAATAACAAAGTATCAGTAATTATACTTTGAAAGACATAAACCCTGCGTTTTAATGTCCCAGTGGTAGCAATAGTTTCTGAAGAAATTATTTCATGCAGGGTTTATGACAGAGAACTGAAGGCATTTTAAGAGAGTAAAATATTAATGCATTCAACATGAAAACAACACTTTTATCATGCTGTTGGCATGCCAACAGCAGCTGACTGCTTTTTGCTCAAATATATGGGTAAATAAAAAATAAAAAACTGAGGCATAGAATTTAGATTACAAGAACATAATACATTTTAAAGCCATGATAAACAATTCAGTTACAAACTGATTGCAAGAAGATAAAAATAATCCTGTGATGCACTATTGAACTCATTTTCCCAAAAATATTTTGGTGCATAGTCACTGCCCCAGTAAAAGGAAAAAAGAAAAGTTTTTTTTTTTATTTAAACTGTTTGCAGGATGATTGCATTAAACTGCCAATACTGATGAATTCAAATGCATAACCTTGTAAGTTCAGGCAATCAGCTAACTTCTGATGTTTGGCATGCTTGCTCATTGAATACAGTTCTTTGCCACAGAAACGACCACCTTTTTCCTGTAATGTATTTTTTTCAGGATAATCTGTTATTTTAAGTCATAAGTCAACCACAGAATTTACATTTTGAACAGAATTAAGCTGAAATCCAGCCGTCTGATACAACATATCGTCATGGTGATCTCCACAGGTTGTTTAGTGAGTAGGAAACGATTGTACTCATCCACATGATTAGTTAAGAAATGAAGCAGCCAAACTCCTGCAAAGACATACATGACAAAAACTATAACATGACATATCAATTGAAACAGAAAAAAACATGTATAAAAGAAGTGACTGCTGCCCTCTCAGAAGCTTCAGAGGAGATGAATGTAGCGATAAAGAGATTAAGGCAATACTGGTAAGCACCAAAACACCATTTCAAGAGTCAGAGTAGCATCTGATTAAAAAAGATCCAGGTTTTGAAACTGTTTGAGAAAGGAGAAGAGTAACAGTTTTTCACTTGTCCTGCATTTTTTCCAAAATTGGCACAATCATGTCAAATTTGGGCCTTTTCGCCGGGTCTTCATTCATGCAAATCTTCATAAGCTTGCATATGTGTGGGGAGATGCCAGGAGGGATGGTGGGCCTCAGACCTTCCAAAGCAATCTGAAATTTAACACATACAAGCTTAATTCATTTCTCCATCTGCATTTATCTTGTTTTACTAAATGAGCTCCAACGGTGGCGACCTTCATGCCGATCTCCATGTTGGACAAGTCTGCAAATGGAACCTCTCTGGTCACCAGCTCCCACAGCAAGATGGCAAAGCTCCACATGTCAGCAGAGCGACGATTAATCTCCTCTGGCTTCTTCTGCAGGGCTGACAATCAGAGAGAAAATCCAAAGGTTACCCGGTGAAGTAGATTTGTTCCAATAAGAATAAAAGAACAAGTATTTTTTTATTGAGGAGTTCAACAATTTAAAAAGGCATGAACTTCCTGAATTTAAACATTTTAATATACAATTACAAAGTTAATAATTCATGTATTCAGCTACCCAGTTGTGCGGTATGTTTTTTTAAAGAGCTGTGCAAAAGTTTTCTTATGTCTTCGTCACCCCGTTTCTTGTAACATTAGAATCACAATCTATTGGATTTATACGCATCTGTCAAACGGAACACACTGTAATACTTTGAAGAATCAGGATAATTGTACAGACCAGGGAAAGAAAGTTAGGGTTGTCAAGATTCTACAATTTTAACCTGGATATCAATATACCCTGAGGAATATTTGATGCCATTTTCAATGCCATAAAAAAAAGACAAAAAGGAAAAAAATATTTTTCTCATGATGGAAAACTCACTATTTCAATCTGAACAAGAAATATTCTCAATTCTGAACCGAATCATAGATTCTAGTTAAATAATTGTGCAAATAAATGTCAAATAAACCCAAACATAACATTTGACAATATTCTAAGGTTGTCTAAGGTGTTATTTTATTAATGTGTAAATAATCCAAAAATAAATAAATACAAAATAAAGATATGAATGATGGCTTAGAAATATGTTTGTTCAGCCATACTTTGAAACAATACCAACAAAATAGAATTTCTTTTTTCACCCAAAGTATTTGAGTATAGTGTTGATATTTTTTACAACCCAAGAAAGAAATAGAGGCAGACGGTATGGGGGATCTCTGAACAAGCTGAGATGGGTTTGTTGTTAACTTCAGGTAAACAAATTGGAATCACTGTTCTATAGCATTATTAAGAAAAATATATATAATCCTCATTAAGGCATGGCTCTAAAGAGATAAAAAACAAATAAAAAAAACTGAAGCAATCCACAGTTTAGCTTTGTGGAATCTGAAGGATAAGACTTTATATGTATTGATCATGTGATTTGGAAGCTAATAAATATATTTCTATGCAATTTATTTACTAAACTACTCTCTCACATTACATATTTCTATGACTGAACTTTTAACTACATTCACTTTTTATACAAAAAAAAAAAAAAATTTTAGTCGAAAGGTGTTTTACATTTCTTTAAATGTTTTAATTTATGGCTTAGTTATATACATGACTTCTAAGCAGGAATCTGCAGATTATTTCATTAAGGTTTCATGATGACAAAAAATATTCTTGGTATTAAGGGACCAAACCCAAAAAACTGAAATGTTAAAACTGTAAATATACAGTGATATGTTTATTTTACTGTTTTTATGTATTTTTTTTTTACTGTTTTCAAGGCTGCAATTTAAAAAAATGAAGTTGTCTAGAGAGCTGTTCTTAACTAAATTTCTTTTTGTTTATACTTGTGTGTACAGCATGGCAAAATAAAAAGTCTTATGAATCATAAACTGTAATGGATCTGAAGTTATAGCTTCTAGAATGCACATTTAAGTCATTTTAGGAATTTGCCATTTTAGGTGCAAATCTGATGAGTATGAAAGTGGCATAAAGCAGAAGTCCGACTGCTCAGCAGATCTGGTCTCTAGACACATTTTGAAAGCAAAGACTATTCAGCAAATATATGTTTATATGTTCCCTTACTCCACAATAAGAATATAAAATATTCTACATTGTTCCTCTATTACGGCTATCTTTTGTTGGTGACTGACTTTATAAAAATTGTTTGCAACCAATCAAAATTGTATTGTAAACTTGAAACCCTTTTTTCTGTTCTTATTATGGTTTCCTTACCTACTCTAACCATGTTGTCTCTTTTTCCAGTTTTCTCTAATGACTTTGTCTCTAAGTTGCTCAAATTTCACTATATCTGAAAAGTAAATCAGATCCGAAATACATTAGGGTTTGAGGGAGTGTGTCGTTTCCTGCATCCATCACTTCCCCTTTATCTTGTGTGGCTTTTGCTGTCAGTCTGGATTTGTCTTTGTATAATTGATGCCTACCCTCAGGGGCTACCCATGCAGGCGAGTACATCCTGCCAGGACACTGGAAAGAGAACTTGACATCCGCCATGCAGATCCTGGCTGTCAAGTCTTCATCTATCTGGAGGAGGAGAGAAAAAATTACTGAGATGTCACCCTTTTCCTTGTTGTGTTCCTGTGAACACTTAGGCACTATAATAAATCAGTCATTTTATGCAACACAGTATTGTAGATCTATGCAAAAAATAGCAAGAGAGGAGTACTCTTCCACACACACAAAACAAAGATCAACTTGCAAGAAAAAAACTTTCGATATTCTCTGATGTTGTCATTAATTTGAATTTTTTTTTTCTAATTTTCCCTAATGAAAAGCATCAATCTGAGTCATAAAAATGGAATATTCAAAGACATTTTGAAGTCAGAAATTTGCAAGAAAAAAAACAACACTCCATTGTAGGTATGTTACACGTGTTCTGACACAAAGCAGTTTAAATCTTTTACAGTGGCTATAGTAGCTGTGTAAACCTGCCTGGTTTATCAGATATCTCTTGATGCCAAAGTGCTCTGTCCTTTTCAGACTTCCTGCAGCCAGCTAACCCTGCTAGCTGTCTGATAACTGGGCAGTCCAGGATATCTCTAGCCGGAGAGAACTTGTGATTCCCAGCATATTATTTACAAACCCCAGCTAGTTTTCACTAATGATTGAACATTACTACTCCTGGAGGAACACCAGTAGTTGCATTGTCATCAGAGAAAAGTGTTTAAGATGAGAAAATATATACATCCTAATACACTTTCCATCCCTTCAGGGAAACTTAACCCCTTTCTGAGCATACCGACACTGGTTTGATGAGCAACAGATGAAAATCTGACATAAAGTCAGGGCGAAAGAGGCGTTGGATGTCGGAGTTTGCCCTGAAATCGAAGGACTGACGTTTCAAGCCCCGACCCCGTCTTTCAGTGTCGTTGTGTCTTTGGGCAAGACACTTCACCTGCATTGTCTACTGATGGCGGTCAGAGGGCCCGGGGGCGCCAGTGTACGGCAGCCCAGCTTCTGTCACTGAGCCCCAGGGCAGCTGTGGCTACAATGTAGCTTGCCACCATCAGTGCGTGAATGGGTGAATGAATGTAGTGTAAAGTGCTTTGGTCAAGTCTCCTGACTTGAATAAAGGCGTTATATAAGTACATGCCATTTACCATTATCATAAACCAAACATCAACGATTATATACTATCTGATTAAATTATATCCGTTTACCTCAAAAATAACTAACAGATTTCTGACACGATGTCAGAGAACATCTTATGTTCAATATTGTTCATTTATGTCTTTAATTAATGGAAGGTATTTTGTTTTTGCACATTTATGATGTTCTGACATCAGAGATAGGGCTGGGTGATATGGTCTTAAAATCTTTATAATGTCATTGGCTGATATCATGTTGATAATGATAAATGTGTGATTAAAACAACAACAACAACCTATTAGCTCTTTGCAGTCTCTGTGATACCCGTATGGCTGTGATTGCTGACCACAACAATCAAAAATAGTTATCTTGAAGAATATAAACACTTCAATTTTGTTTCTTCAGGACAGCAGTCACATAAAAAGTATGGTTTATATCACTACACATCTTGTAGTAATTGCACTTAATTAAATTTTTCCAAAACACCAATAAGAAAAAAAAAATGATGGAAATAGCAAAAATACAAATTTTGACAATTCACCCAGTTTATGGAGATTTTGAGTGATAATTGATTTTAATTTAATATTTAGATGAAAGTGCAAAGACAAAATCAAATACAAGACAATATCAAACTTTTTTCATTCTATTATATTTAATTTAAACATTTATGCTCCTTTGCAGCCATTTTTTCCCCTTCTATTTACAATGACGCTAATACTCCAGTGTAGATTTATAAAACTGAACTTCTGATGAAGAAAAATGTTTCTTACCATGATACTTTTACTGTTGAGATAATGGCGAGGGATCATAGGTTCAAGTGTGTGTAGGAAGGCCATTCCAGATGCAATGTCCAGAGCAAACTTGACTGCCTGTGTCTGGTCTACCACAAAATCTGGCAGTTGGATGAATAACAAGAAATTAAAGCTTAAAGGCTCCACCGCTTTAACCAAGTACCAGGCAGTAAAATAGATCAAATTTATAATAATTAACATAACAGACATATAAAATAGCACGCAAACCTACAAATTACTTACAGTACCTTGCAAAAGTATTAATTCCCCTTAAATATTTTACAACTTTTTCAACTTGCTTAACAACAAAGGATTTTATCCCAGTGACTGCAAGGAAAAAGTGAAGTTCTTTTATTTTATAATGCATCTATGTAGCTCTGTCTATTCAATTCCATTAATATACACTTTAAGTAAAGTGTGTACAGCAAAAAATGCAAGCCACTGAAATGAAATGACAAACTGATCAGTGAAAATACTCACTAGTGCCTTCATGGAGCACATTGTAGAGGGAACCATAAGGCATCCAGTGTGTAATGATGATGGGGTGAGGGGAGGGAGGACACTGACATGCTCCCAACATAGGTAGAACATTTGGGTGGGAAAAAATCCTGGGAGTGAAACAAATGAGGTAGAGACATCGGAGAAACAGACAGAGGCAAACAGACAAATATCTTTACATCAACATTACTTTCCAGTGATTCACTTTATGTATAAACAACCCACAGGTTTGGCTCCACAAGATGAAAACAGACAAGTGACGAGAGAAACAAAAAAAAAAAACAACAAAAAAAAGATGATGAAATATTTAACTTAATAAGAACCTGAGTTTGGGATATTCCTCGTTGAAGTCTCTGCTCTTCCTTGCGGTCCAGTCCCGAATTTTTAGCACCTTAACAGCGATTTCATTTCCCTGCCAACGTCCCTTCCACATCTAGACATGTGAAATAAACATAGAGAAATCCGGGTAAACAACATGGGGTTTAATTTCATCATCAGTGGAGATATAGGTAAATAAAGCTAAGTAGAATACCTCCCCAGACTGGTTTTCATTTCTTTTTTCAGTGAGAGAAAGCTGTTTGTAGTCGATCCCCGCTTGTTTGTTTAAAGTACCGTTGCCTACAAACACAAAGCAGAGAAATAAACTTTACAAAAAGACCAGATATTAATCGTCACTTTGTTAACAAAACCATGGAAAGAAAAAAAGCCACTGGGAACAGAGCTGGGAGGATAAAGAGTAACATACATCCCCTCATTCAAGGCTTCAGCTAAACCAGAGGGTGGAAACTGGTCAGCTAATAAATGGTTCACATGTTTTTTGGGACTCACGCGGTCGAGTCCGGGTGGTGCCTTTCCAGAATGTGTCCTTGAACGGTATTTTATTTAAGTTCTGCCCCAATTTTTCAGCCTTTTCTGTAGAAATTGGAAAAGTCAGATTAAAACCAGGAAATCCTCCTATATTGAAATCTTTTTAAGTAAAAAATGTGACAATCTAACAAGTTGGGTTACCTCTTAGGAGCTCCCGCAGATCCGGTTTGGCTTTATCCATAGGCGTTTCTCCATATTTGTTACAGATGCTCACCAAAGAGCCGTTAATCACAAGGTCCTGAACAAAACATAACTATGGTGAAAAACAATTCAAAGGCATTTTTAATTACCACCAGGGGGAGCACCTACCTCAGCTACTTGGTTATGTCCCCAGAAGCAGGCATAATGCAGTGGAGTGTTCCCGTGTTCATTGGCTGCATTGGTGTCTGCTTTGCATTGGATCAGCTAAAAGAAGAAGAAACAAAGGATTATTTCCAAAGGCAGATTATCTAGATCATATCTTGGCCTTATACAAACCTGAAACTGTGTAACGCTAAGAAACACAGAAAGTATTTTCTTGCCTGGAGGCATATACCTAAAGTATTGAGATAGATTTAACATCAAACACTTGGGATACATTGCAGTCATTTTAAAAGGCAGACATCTCAGAGTATACCAAATTTAAAATGAACCACCAATGATGTTTATCAACCTTTACTTCCACTCTATGGTGCATAAACTTAAAGCAGGAAGACTGATCCAAAATACTGTTTATTCTCTAAAGGCGATTCATGTTCTATCAAACATAGTGCTGCATTTGGACATGGTGGCCATCCTTTTATCTCAGGGAGATTAACTTTCTCTTTAATAAACATGGTTATTAGTGTTTTTGGAATGCTAGCCAGGCTAATTTCTAACACAGGATGCTAAAGCTGGTCTAAAAAAAAATGTGAATCCCATTTTGCAACAGCTTCCATTTTTTTTACACAGTATTGTAAACATGAATACTTTTAATCACATAGAAAGGAAATAAGAAGATAACGCTTTAAGAGGTTTTCTTCCAGGTGAATCTGAACTTGCATAGGCAGGATTGGCAAATCAAGGGCCTAAAATAACAGATACAGGCTTAAAGCAGCACAGCTAAGGCTGGGTTATAGCAGCTGGTTTTTACATGAGAATGCAGGAATGGCACCAAACATGGAAAAAACAACAAAATCCCTGAATAATAAATTTACCCCTGATATAAACAGGCTAAAGTAAAGTGTTGAAACGAATGTCAAATTTGGAGTTTATTAGACAAAAACATGATAACAGTATAGAACACATCCATAGTAAGATGAATATTTCATAATGCGGTTTACTCCCCCCCCCCATGGAACCAGAAGAGACCCCGTTTTTATACCAAAACGATCTTTGTGGCTTAAACGATGTTCTAGCCACAAAAAGTGTGGTAAAAGCCATGCCTTTTAACCACACGGCTGTGGTTTCTGCTGATGAGGTTTGCAGCACAAGAATTGACAGGAACCTATGAAATGATGTTCAGATTACATCATTCAAGTTTTCACAATACCCTGAGTGGAAGAAAGTAGACTTGTTCAGACAGTGCATCATCTCACTGCTGTGTTTAAGAAACTGTTTTTAGTCATGGCTTTAGTTCGAGCTTAGTGAAAAACATACGACTATTTTAATCTCTGCACAAAGAGAAAACAACCGTGTTAAGAAACGTCATAAAAACCAATATATAATCATAAAAGCTCCCTCTGTGTGTTTGCATGGGCCCCACCTTCCCCACAATGTCTCGATGTCCATGACTGGCAGCTAAGTGCAGAGGCGTGTCGTCTCCACGGTTCATGACGTTGATGCGGGCTCCTCTCATGATCAGCATGTCCACCACATTGGAGCGTCCTTCCCTACATGCCCAGTGGAGGGGACTGAAACCATGATCATCTCTGTAACGGTAGAGGAACAATTGGATTTAAGAGTTTTGATAAACAGTAGGGTCTGTTGAGTTAAAAAAGTATTGATTAAGGTGCAAATCAGAAAGGTCAGGGAGGTCACTACCCCAAGTTATGGGGTAGGGTTAAGAAAGTTTAGCTTTTAAAACAATATCCCAACCTCTTAAAATTTTACATGGCTTCTTTCAACGCAACAGCCTACACTGAAAAAGTTTACGGCATAACTTCAAATCTATAAACGTGACCAACCCCCTGAACTGACAATCTCGGCATTATGAAAGAGCCACAAAAATTCACAGCTCAAATCAATCTGTTAAAAAGTCAACTGTAAACTGTGGATTCCACAAATCTAAGTGGAGGACATAAGTAGCAATTTTACATTTTGCTTATAGGAAGTAAAATCTGGGAAAAACAAAAGATGAAAGATGTTCTGATCAAACATCTAGTCATTATTCTTGACTAATACAGAAAAGTATTAGTCAAGAATTAAGAAAAAAAAACCCATTGTGGTGCAAGCATTATGCTGTGGGGACACGTTTCTTGAGTAGCCAAAGGAAAACTGATTGGAAGAACATAATAAAAGGAAATGCTAGAAGAAAACCAGCTAAAGACAGCAAAAGATAGAGGGTTCACCCTGATATAGACAAATATTTTCATTTCTGGATGTGTAAAAATGGTGGAGACCTTTTCTATTGTTTGCAGTGAAAGGTGATTTGGCAAAGTTACATATAGCAACACACAACCAAAGATTTTTAGGTTTTCAGTGGAGAAATGCATGAAACATAATCCTTTGACTTCACAATATATGCACTGTAATATATAATGAAATAAGTTAAATAGGTTGAAATACGTTACATAGAAAGCCTTTATTTCAGGCTTTCTATGTTCCAAAACAGTCTATTTACTGAAGGCTTTGTATTTTAAACAACTCCTATCGTCGAAAGAAAAAAGAAAATCTGTTACTTTCCAGCTTTTCTTCTTTTAAAGGATCTTGCTTTGAGAGAGAAAACGACGAGAACTCTAACACTCAATCCTCCTTGTCACGCAGACATTGGCTTCAACATATCAAGGACGGTGGCCTCAATGTCATGATAGACGCTGACAGAACGCCACCTCGCTGACAGAGAGATAAAGACAAAGAGATTAAGAACACGGTACATCTGGGTGACCGAGTGTCAATCAAGAAAAGCTCAAATGAAAAAAAAAAAAAAAAAACTTTACTGAAGTCCTTTTATGGTCTGATTAGACTTCCTACATCAGAGCTGCTGAAACAAACTGGAGCTTCTGTGTAGACTTGTAACTCCTCATTTGTCTTTTCACCAGTCACATCCTCCTTTCTAATGAAGTGTCCTCCCTTTGTGAAATGATCCACTCCTACACCCTCTCCCTTGTTATATAAAGTTAAAGAACACTGAGCATAACTTTCCTTCACTAGCTTGAGACCACCAAAACAGCTCTGTGCTTAGAAATCTATGCACATATCCTAAAGTTATAAAGGCAGAAAATCAAAGGATGTGAGAACTGAAGAGGGTATTATAAATTTGCAGCAATTTGAGCCTTTCGCCTCCACCCTAAACATCAGTTCACCAACTTGATTCAAACATCCTGTAGAGCTCAACTCAAAATGGCCTCAAGAGACCAACAGAGACCCTCAGTCCCCAAACAGACAGCTATCTGTGCGACCTGCTGCAATCATACCAGATCTACTCAAAGGGCAATTTCCTCTCAGACCAAAAGGCCAAATCCAGAAGGCTAATTACCCTTTACTGATGAAAAATACTCCCCACAGGTGCCAGAATTTTATTAGCTTTCCGGGTCACAATCCATTCTTTTTGGGGTGGGGAGGTAAAGTAGTGAAGTTAATAGCTGTGTTTTCTGAAAGCACTTTCTACAAAACATTTCCGGCAATATGATGGTTATGATTTAAACTGAGATTGTTTTTACTGGTGAATAAATTAATAATTTAATGTCTCCTTTTAATACTGACTAATGAAATGCTGTAATATGAAACATTTTTCATGTATTTGGATCTATATTAGAGATCAGATGGACCACAGCACTGGTCACAGAATTCATTCGGCTTAAAAACGTTACAAAGAGAATCAGGACGATATTTCTAGTTTCAAGACCAAAATATTCTCAGAAAGAAGTGGTGATAAATTCCAGGAAGACCGCTCAATACTTCTGTTAAGACAACACTGTTTTTAAAGGAATAGTACACCCAAAACATGATTAGCCTTCATTTTCTACTCACCCCCATGCTGAACAACACTCTGGAGTACTTTTTTGATATCTCAAATGCATCTGGAGATCTGGGAGGCTTCTTACTGTCTGCTGACATTCAAATAATGGAGGTCTATTGTGCCCGAGACAGAAAGGTCCATAAAAGTCCGCAAAAAACGTGTCAATATTCCTCCATACTGCTCGTCCAATGTATTCCAAGTGTCCTGAGTGGGTAGCATCCAGAATTTACTCGAAACGAAGTCATTTAGAATGTTTTTAAGAGCATAAACAGTAGTATATAGGACTTCCTGAAAGCGCGCGCCGGCGCGTTCATGACGCTACGGAAACCGCGGCAGACCAAGCCAGATGAAAGTGCCCATTCAGCTCGGCAAAGAACTCATGCTCTTCCTCAACACTGAAGTCCTCAGACATTTTTCTTTCGTTGTTTCTTTCTTTGCACAGGTAAACAGCACATTTCTTCTTCTACGCTTGCATAATCGGCAGAGCAGACGCTGAATGCGCACTTTCATCTGGTTTGGTCTGCCGGCTTCCGTAGCGTCATTAACGCGCCGGCGCGCGCTTTCAGGAAATCCTATACACTACTGTTTATGCTCTAAAAACATTCTAAATGACTTTGTTTCGAGTAAATTATGGACGCTACCCACTCAGGACACTTGGAATACATTGGACGAGCAGTATGGAGGAATATTGACACGTTTTTTGGGGACTTTTATGGACCTTTCTGCCTCGGGCAACATAGACCTCCATTATTTGAATGTCAGCAGACAGCAAGAAGCCTCCCAGATCTCCAGATGCATTTGAGATATCAAAAAAGTACTCCAGAGTGTTGTTCAGCATGGGGGTGAGTAGAAAATGAAGGCTAATCATGTTTTGGGTGTACTATTCCTTTAAACTGCAGATGTCCAGCGAATACCTTTGTCCCAGTTATTAGTAGAGGTGTGGGGGGAAAAAATAGTTTTGGCAATATATATTGTTAATTTTATCTGTCTAATATAATATCCATCTTTTTGTTTCTAGTATCAATTTTAAAAAAACAAAACATTTTTACCACAGTTGAGGCAGTCACAGTAGAAGACTTGGACGGACTCAAACCCCAAACAACATGGATACCAAAAATAACTAAATGAGCAGTACCTTCTGATAAACATATACAGCACTTGCTTTTTTATCTATATATTTAATTTTAATAGCTGGGAAATATATTGAAATATACAGATATATTGCAACAGTGTGATAATATCGTATTGTGACACATATAGTATCGCAAAACCCATGCCCATACTCGCCCTTAGTTATTAGCCCCTTAGTGCTATTTTTAAAAAACAATAAATTTACAGAAAATCCAGAGTGGTGCAAATTAAAAGTAATATTTTCACTGAAAATAAAAAAATTGTTTATACACTATTATGGGTCAAAAATATACAGAAGTGGTCTCACTCCCGGAAGGAACAATAGCAGACATTGAAGACGGCTACAGGTACCTTGGAATTCCACAAGCAAATGGCAACCTCGAAGAGGTGACAAGGAAAGTGGCTATGGCCAAATACCTCCAATGAGTAAGGCAGGTCCTAAGAGCCAGCTCAATGGCAATAACGAATCTTGGGAAATAAATAGCTAAACTCTACCAGTAATCAGATACCCTGCAGGAATAATAAACTGGCCAAAGGAAGAGGTACAGGCCACAGATGTTAAGACCAAAAAGCTCCTAACCATGCACAGAGGGTACCACCCCAAATCCAGTACCCTGAAGCTATACGCCAGCCGTGAGGAAGGAGGCCGAGGACTAATAAGCGGATGAGCCACTAACCAGGATAAAAAACCTCCAAGATCCATAAGTACGTCAAGGACAAGGCTCCATCAAACGACAACCTCACTGAATGTCTCAGACAATGGGGAACAGAAGATGAGGTGCTGGAGGTTCCGTCAAGGGAGGATAAGCCCCTATACGGGATGTACCACAGGAACATAACCGAAGTGGCAGATATCGGGAAATCCTACCAATGGCTAGACAAACCGGGACTGAAGGAGAGCACAGAGGCACTCATTATGGCTGCACAGGAGCAGGCCCTGAGCACCAGAGTCCCAGATCTACCAAACCAGACAAGATCCCAGGTGCAGACTATGCAAAGAGGCCCCTGAAACAACCCAGCACATAACTGCAGGGTGTAAGAGTGTAGTTCTAGGAACAGCAAAGATACTGCACAGAACCCTCAAGTTCCCAGGCCTCTGGTAGAGGACCCGAGCCTTAAGGAAAAAAGGTGGAGACCGCCCATGCTGGGCAAGGAAGAGTTTTTTCTGGGATCAGAGTTTGCCTGAATGATTGAAAACTAAACTTGACTTTTGAAAAACCAATATCAAAAACGCCCAGAAGATGGCAAGAGTGCATCAATATCTAATTGCATGTACCACATTTCTTTTGATATACAGTTTTGCTGCTAAGCATTGTGTTTGGCGAGGAAAGCACACACCCTTATTTTTAACTCGCATACACGGTCAGTTATTGCCGTTGGTACATCAGCTGTTGCCGTAGCCCCCGGCAAACATGTAGTGTGCGGGACCGCGTAAACAGCAGCCTGAGGACCAGGGTACTCATTTTTGCGTAGCACCTATTTGCAGCTGGTTGGTAAATAAGCTTCCTGGAGCAGAGCCTACAGATGCAAGCACCTGGTTAGCCTAACTTCCTGCACCAGCTGCTAAATGCTTGCCGTTTCACATAGTCTCCTCCAGCTATGCCCAGCGCCATTTATTTT